ACTTATATTGCTTATAATTTATTATTCTTAGTTTGAAGGAGTGCTTTTACTATAATAAAAAAACATTTCTCTGTGTAAATTCAGATATACAATAAGCTGGTTATTAAAATTTAAACTTACAATGAAGGTTGTTGTAGTAAATTCTAGATCAAACAATGTGTAGAGATCTAATGTGTAGAGTCATTAATAACTTGGAGACTTGGAGTTTAAAACTTCCTATCTCCTGTGACTGCCGTCCTCTGATCAGACTTCTCTGAAAGAGAATCAGGTCACCAGAAAGACACTATATTGTGGAGAACACTATTCGCTTGACCTGAACACTCACCAGTGAATATGCTTCTTAGAGCCTTCAACTAACTAAAGTCACTGACAGCGGTCACACATATTTCCAGCCAAATATTTAGCAGCGCACGTACATTCCTGGTAAACCCGGAGCTGTGCGAAGCATGTTCCCGCTCCTTACCGCCCGGGGTGGGTCCTGAAGCAGGTTGTGTTTTCTTGTCCGCAGCTGCGACAGCTGGTGAACATGTGCATCAACCCAGACCCGGAGAAGCGGCCGGACATCACCTACGTGTACGACGTGGCCAAGCGGATGCACGCCTGCACCGCCAGCGCCTGAGCACGGCTGGCGGAGCCAGCAGCCGACGCGCACTCCAGTGTTCTTGAGCAAAGCGCACCTCCCCCTCCTGGGTGTTAAGAGTCCTACTTCAGAGCTAACGTGCTTTGAATCCTTAACCAGTTTTCATGTAAGCTTCATTTTGTACCAATTTAAGTCACCTTCTTGCAAACCCCAATGACTTTGGAATAGTCAGATTGCATGTTAGGAGAGCAAACAACACAGTGGTTCTTAATGCCTAAGAATTTTTAGAATGATTTCAAGTTTTGTGCTCACCAGTCGTGTTCAGATAGACTCTCAGTGCCAAACACCGGTGACTTGGCTTGGCCCCATCGGGACAAACAGACAAGCCCGAGGACGTTATCTGAGCACGTGACTTATGTGCTTTCCGGTCATGTGTGGACATCTGAGATGAACACAGTTGTGAACTTTTGTGACTCTTTTATTTTCAGAAGTTTGAAGTATGTGTTTTAGTTCTTAGCATTGTAGCTTTCAAATAGAATTCTTAAAGCTGAATATACACATGAACTATATTTTCATTCATGAACTATTTGAGAAATTTAAAATCCTTAGCTTATAAATTCAAAATGCAACTATTAAATGTGAAAAGATTTGGGGACAAAATGTGAGTCAGACACTGAAGAGTTTTTTGCTTTATTTTAGTATCTTTGATGTTCTCCTTGCATTAAAGTGGTATAAATGAATCCATTTAAAAAGTGGTTAAGGATTTGTTTGGCTGGTGTGATAGTAATTTTCAAAGTTGCACATTGCCCAAGGCTTTTTTGTGTGTTCTTGCTGTTGTTTGTACATTTGAAGACTATTATTTGAATAATCCTGCAGTACTATATTTCAGTTCCTTTATGAATTTAAATGCTCTACTCATGATCGTGCACTATAGTATATAAGCATATGTTTTTATTCATAGATTTTATTGAAATTCTGATTGGTCCCCTTAGGAAAGTTTTTTTATATTCTTCAAGTTACTTTCCTATTTATATTGTACATGAGTTTTATCCACTAATGTTTCAGATGTTCTAACAACATTATAGCCTTAAAAGAATCTTTGGTATGCCCACACTCCTCCTGGGAGGAAAACATTTTCAGCTTTTTAACTTTGGGCCGCCCCGTGTGTGCGCGCCTCGTCTTGTCAGAAAGGAAGAGGGGCGTGTGTTGCCCTGTTCCTATGAGCGTTGATGCCGTTTCAGTTCGTCTGACAAGGTTACAATTTTAGAGTATGTTTAAAGAAATGAAAACTAGCCACTCCCGCAGCCAGTAGTTTCATGAGCTAAACATTTCTGTTGAGAAGCTTCTCGCCAAGTACTGTATTCATGCCCGAAGTTGCCCGAGGCAGTGTAGTTTCCCGGAGCAGGCAGAGTTCAGTACCTGCCGTCATGGAGACATTTGCCCTGGACGCTCCAACACAGCCACGTGGCCGTCACCAGCTGAGGACCCCGTGCCCCCACGGAACCTGCCCAGTAACCCTGCCAACGGGACACCCTCATGCTCAGAGCGCGCCTGCCCTCATCCCATAGAACTGCTGGTTTTGTTTTTTCCATAGAAGTATTTTTCTTAAAGTCATTTGAATACTTTCATTTGTAAACGTTTAAAATGTACAAAGCAAAGTGTCTGCTCCTTCTTTTCTAAATTTAATTAGCTATGGTGTCAGTTGTGAATTAGGGTGATTTATCCCAGGCCAGGCAGGGGAGAGCTGCTGGCTCTGCATCCCGGACTGCACGGACACCTGGGCCCCCGGCACCCCCACACGAGTCTTCAGAGTAGAACTGTCTCTGTTGACCTTAGCGTTGTGTTCATTTTAATGTAATATGACTGACTGAGATAAGATGTCCTCTATTGGAAACAAATATGCTCATTTTTCCTGCAATCTTTAAAAATACATCCATCTAAAAGCCATTAGCTGGACCCCCTCACAGGACTTCTAAGCAGATTTAAACTTTTAACTGAACCTATCTGCTATAAGCAAACTGGGAAGATTTTAATGATCAGGGGAATCCATTATTGTTTTCTACATGTGGAAACTTTCTGTCTTGGATATTTTACCTTTTTTTTTTTTAATCTCAGTGTTCATATTTTTCTGGAAGAAACCACTGTGCACAAAACAAATTTTAATTCTGAATGGGATCATTTCAAAGAATTATGAAGATGATTAGAAGTTTTAATTTTTTATAATCACCTATAAAATGTTCTCTTTGTATTTCTGTTTATAAGTAAATTTTGTATTGATTAAATAAAACATGTGATTTGATATGAGGAACAGTAAAATGAAAGGTACATCTGATTTCTAACCCTTATTTAGACTTTGGTACCAGTTCCCCAGGGCACAAGGTGGGATGACCTTGGTTCATGTGCCAAGGCCTAGGAATGGTGAGCAAAGGGTATCCCTGTATACATAAAGTGCTCAGCAGCGGGCCCTGATTGTGAGTTCAGTGAGATATGACAGCCACTTCATGACTGCTTACCGTCCTACATAGTATCCATTACAAAACACCATTCTGGTGTCTGTATACACTTCAGGTGTTGCTGTTAACATTTGCATATTTATTTTAACCAAATGTTATTCATATTAAATGTTTTTTCTTTAAAATGAATGTATTATGTTTATATCCCACCAATGAATAATTATCTTATGCCTCATATTTCAATAGTACTGTAATACGGACTTTTGTGAAATACTTTTATTTTGTTATGCTTCAAATACACATACTAAAGACTCTGTTGTTAGCTTTGAAAATTGTATAATATCCTAATATAAATAAAAATATAAAATTAAAAATAACCATAATAAGTTTTTCATGTATCTGTGATTTCCGCCCCCCCCCCCACTAAATTCTACCACTGTTTATTTCATTCAACAGTTAACCTACAGAAACAGTTCTTAATTCATTTCCATGAATTATTTCTTTATCCTTTTGGAGATGGCTAAATATTGAAACAGTCAGGGGGTGACCATGGAGGGCTGACAGACCCTAAGAGGGAAGTCTTTAAATATGCATTAAACTAAGGCACGACTTCACAGGTCCCTCTTCTCTTTGATACATCATTTGCTGTCTTTGAATAAGAAAAATTTCTCAAAATTATAAAGTGTCTAAAACTCAGGCAACAGATTCTATTCCTGTCACTGTAATATACCCCTACTGATACTACAGATGGTTTGAATGTTCTTTTCACATAATAAGTGACAGTTGCTGCCATGCCTGGAGACTCTGAGACTGAAGGATGTTAATAGGATACTGTCTGCTGGGCTGGTGGCGGAGTGATCCTCACATGTCAGAATCACATTCCAGACGGGTGAAGAAGAGCTTGGTTTATAACCTAGGACCGTGGGTGAAGAACCTGCAGTCCCACTGTGTGTGTATGCCTGATCACAAGTCCCTGGAAATTTTAGGTTCAAGATAGTGTGGGACTAGTTGAGGTTTTCGGAGAAGGCAATGGCAACCCACTCCAGTGCTCTTGGCTGGGAAATCCCACGGCTGGAGGAGCCTGGTGGGCTGCAGTCCATGGGGTCGAAGAGTCGGACAGGACTGAGCAACTTCACTTTCACTTTTCACTTTCATGCCTTGGAGCAGGAAATGGCAGGCAACCCACTCCAGTGTTGTTGCCTGGAGAATCCCAGGGAAGGGGGAGCCTGGTGGGCTGCCGTCTATGGGGTCGCACAGAGTCGGACACGACTGAAGTGACTTAGCAGCAGCAGTTGAGGTTTTATCTCAAAGTATGTTTGTTAACTAGAAAAGCCAATACCAGCCATAGATGTTTAAATGTGTCATTAGTTGGTATAGCTGTCTTTACCAAACTGATGCAGTAACTTTCAAGTCAAAATGATGACATAGGGACAGAGATTAACTTCACAAAACCTTATCAGAAAATGCCCACGGGGCAGACTTCCCTGGTGGTCCAGTGATTGGGCATCTGCCTGCCAAAGCAGGGAACACAGGTTCTTTACGTGGGCCGGGAAGATCCCACCCCTCAGGACAGCTAAGCCCGTGCGCCGCCACTAGCAAACCCGGCTGCTGCAACTGCTGAAGTCCGTGCGCCCAGAGCCTGTGCCCCAGCAAGAGAGGCGCCACGGAGACGCTCACGGGCAAGCCCCGCTCGCCGCAACGCGGCAGGGACCCAGCACGCCAAAAACGAATAAACACAGTTACGTAAGGAAGAGCCCACAGCTGGCTTTCAGCCCGCTGCGGGCCAGCGGTTAAGACTCCGTGTCCCGGTGCAGGGAGCCCAGGGCCGATTCCGGGTCAGAGCCCGATCCCATATGATTCAGCTGAAGACCCCACACGTGGCGACAAAGATCCGGCGCCGTGAGACTTTCAAAAATATCCGCGGAGTTGTTGCCTTATCTGTTTCTAATTACATGTGAATTCCTGGTACAATTAATGGTGAATTAAACTCCTGAGATTATTTTTCAGAGAAAGATGTGAACATCTGTGAAGTTTATTTTTAATTGACAGGTTTATCTGAGCTTCTTTTCGGTCTTCTTACACACCCATTTCACTCTTCACCTGTCTCTAAATCTACTTTTAATCCTTAAGAGAAAAATAAAAAAGGAACGTGAAAGTTCACATTTGTAACTAGGGGTTTTTAAGTAAATTATTTTCACTGCGAGTTATTACAACATCTAGAAAGTAATTTCTTTTTTATTCTTTCCAGAAGCATAACCGTGTTCATACATTATTTCTCTAATCCTCACTTTCTCAAGTATAAAGTAGGGATATAAATTCCTAGTTCTACAAGAGAGTTAAATTGCAGTGCATTTAATGAGAGGCTGTGCACAGTGCCTGGTACCAAGTGATTCCTGCTAAAAGGAGCTGTTGTTACACCATTTACATCTTTTCTGGCTCCAGTCTTCATCTACTTCTGCCAATTTGCTCTCTCCTAGGCCTGTGAGACTGGTTGTTCAAGGGTCTCAAGTTCTCTCTCACCTTTGGGCCAGTGCAACTTAAAAGCTCTTCCCTCTTACCAGAAAGACACCCCGTAATAGTCCATGGCAGTCGCTCAGTCGTGCCTGGTGTCTGACTCCGCCACCCCACAGACTGCAGCCCCCCAGGCTCCTCTGTCCATGGGATTCTGCAGGCAAGAACACTGGAGTGGGGTGCCATTCCCTTCTTCAGGGAATCTTCGTGACCCAGGGATCAAACCCGAGTCTCCTGCATTATAGGCGGATTCTTTACCATCTGAGCCCCCGGGAAGCCCAAACTTCCTATTTCCACATGGAGATGCTCATGTGGCATTCTACACTTTCCTTTGATGCTGACCCCACTGCAGCCAGATGGTTATTTGTGTGACTCTTGGTTTACTTGCAGTCTCCTGCTGGACCCTGAGCTCCAGGGGGACAGATATTCCTGTGTTGTTCAGTGTGGTGGTGTACCCCCCAGGAGAGCCCCCCTGCCATGGTGTATGGTGAAGTGAAAGTCGCTCAGTCATGTCCGACTCTTTGCGACCCTTGGCCTTGTATGGTCCATGGAATTCTCCAGGCCAGAATACTGGAGTGGGTAGCCTTTCCCTTCTTCAGGGGACCTTCCCAACCCAGGGGTTGAACCCAGGTTTCCCACATTGCAGGCAGATTCTTTACTGTCCAAGCCACCAGAGTAAGCTCAAGAATACTGGGGTGGGCAGCCCACCCTTTCTCCAGGGGATCTTCCTGACCCAGGAATCGAACCAGGGTCTCCTGCATTGTAGGTGGATTCTTTACCAGCTGAGGTACCAGGGAAGCCCTATGAATTAATAGTCCATGGCAAAAGAGATCAGTCAATACATGTGAAAAATGATGACATCAGGTGCCGAAGATGCAGAAAATGCACCCTTCTGCTTGTTGTTGGCAGTGTGGATTGTGATTGTTTTTAAAAAGTAATCTGGATAGATGGCAGAGTAGAAGGATCTTGAGCTCACCTCCTCAGACAAGCATTCCAAGATCACACCTAACTGCTGAACAAACATGGATTAAAAAGATTGGAACCTACCAAAAAAGATGTTCTATAGCTAAAGACATAAAGAAGGAACCACAAGCCATCCCACTGACTTGATTGCAGGAGCTTCACAGGACAGAGGAAACAGACTCCACTCAAAGGGGGTACTGGGACCCAGGGCAAAGCAGTGACTTCATAGGCATCTGTTCCAGACACACCTGCTGGTGTCAGAGGGTCTCCTAGGAGGCAGGGGGAAGCTGTGGCTCTCCTGGGGTCAGACATTTTGCCTGAGTCCAGAGCAACAAGATCTGGTCCCACCCAAAAGCCAGGGGCCAGGCTCTGAAACAGCCTCACCCACAGGGGGCAGACACCAGAAACAAGAAACCTTGTTGAGTTTGGGGATGCAGATGCAAACTCTGGAACAGAGTGGAAGGGAGAAGGTCCAGCTGTAAAGCACAGGGAAATGTATTCAATGCTCTGTGATCAACCATAATGGAAAAGAAAATGAGAAGAAAGGATAGACACGCAGATGTGTAACTGAATCACTTTGCTGCACAGCAGAAGTAACACAACATTGTAAATGAGCTACACATTAATTAAATCAATAAAAAGTAAAACCCTAGAGACAAATGAAAACAAAAACACAATGACCCAAAACCTATGGGATACAGCAAAAGCTGTTCTAAGAAGTTTCTCAGTGATACAAGCTAAGGAAAAAATCTCAAACAACATAACCTTACACCTAGTGTAACTAGAGAAAAATTTACAAACAAAACCCAAAGTTAGTAAAAGGAAAGAAATCATAATGATCAGAACAGAAATAAACAGAGTCTTAAAACAACAAAGAAAAGATCAATGAAACAAAAACCAGGTTCTTTGAAAAGATAAACAATATTTGTAATCCTTGGCCAGACTTACAGGGGAAAAAGGGAGAGGGCCCAAATCAAATGTTAAAATTAAAACACACACACACACAACCGACACCATGAAAATACAAAGGAGCCTAAGACACCACTACGAGCAACTGTTTGCCAATAAACTGGACAATCTAGAGAAAACTAAAGAATTTTTACAATGGTACAATCTCCAAAAACTGAACTAGGAAGAACTGGAATATATGAACTGGCCAACTACAATTTCTGAAATTGAATCAGTAATTTAAAAAGTTTCAACAAACGAAAATCCAGGACTAGATGGCTTCACAGGGAATTTCTACTGTACATTTAGAGAAGAGCTAACACCTATCCTTCTGCAAGTCTTTAAATAATTGCAGAGGAAGGAGCACTTCCATTCTGTGAGGCCACCAGTACCCTGATACCAAAACCCAAAAGGATCACATACAAAGAAGAAAATTACAGACCCATATCACTGATGAATATAGATCTCAAAATCATTAACCCAGTGTTAGCAACAGACTCCAACAACACATTAGAAGGATCATACACCATGATCAAGTGGGATTAATTAAGTAGGATTTATCTCAGGGATGCAAGGAGTTTTCAATATGCACAAATCAATGTGATACACAAAATAACAAACTGAAGAATAAAAACCATATGATCCTCTCAATAGATGAAAGCTTTTGACAAAATTCAACACCTATTTATAATGAAACCTTTTTCACTCTCCTCTTTCACCATCATCAAGAGGTTGTTAAACTCGACATTGGCTTAAAATTCAACATTCAAAAAATGAAGATCATGGCATCTAGTCCCATCACTTCATGGTAAATAGATGGGGAAAAAAATGGAAACAGTGACAGATTTTACTTTATTGGACCCCTAAGTCACTGCAGATGGTGACTGCAGCCATGAAGTTAAAAGATGCTTGCTCCTTGAAAGAAAAGCTGTGACAAACCTAGATAACATATTAAAAAGCAGAGACATCACTATGCCAACAAAGGCCATCTAGTCAAAGCTATGGTTTTTCCATTAGTCATAGATGGATGTGAGAGTTGGACCATAAGGAAGGCTCAGCACCAAAGAACTGATGCTTCCAGACTGTGGTGCTGGAGAAGACTCTTGAGAGTCCCTGGGACAGCATGGAGATCAAACCAGTTAATCCTACAGGAAATTGTTCCTGGATGCCCACTGGAAGGATTGATGCTGAAGCTGAAGCTCCAATCCTTTGGCCACCTGATTGGAGAGCTGACTCATTGGAAAAGACCCAGATGATGGGGAAGATGAGGGCCGGAGAAGGGGACAACAGAGGATGAGATGGTTGGATGGGTCACTGACTCAATGGACATGAGTTTGAGCAAACTCAGAGAGATGGTGAAGGACAGAGAAGCCTGGCATGTTGCAGTCCATGGGGTCACAAAGCGTCAGACACGACTTAAGGACAGAAAAACAACAACATAATAAAAACTCCCAGAAACATATGAAAAACCTATCACTACCCTGATACTAGTGGTGAAAAGCTGAAAGCATTTCCTCTAGAGTCAGGAATGACACAAGGATGTCAACTCTTGTCATGTTTATTTAACATAGTCCTAGCCATGGAAATCAGAGAAAAAAACCCAAAATGAAGCGAAATTGGAAAAGGAGTAAAACTGTCCAGGTTTGCAGAGGATGTGATCCTAGACATAAAAGTCGTGAGGATACTACCAGAAAACTGCAAGAGCTCATCAATGAATCTGGTAGATTTGCAGGATACAAAACCAACACATAGAAATCTTGCACTTTTGTATACAAAGAATGCAAGATGAAAAAGAAATTAAAGAAACAATCCTGTTTACCATCACAACTAAAAGAAAAAAAGCCAGATACAAGTCCACAGTTACCATCATACTCTGGTGAAAAGCTGAAAGGATTTTTTCTGGGATGCTGAACCATAGGATCATGAATGTGCCCTTCTCACCCGTTCATATAATGTAGGTTTGGAAGTCCTCGCCACTGCAACTGAAGAGAAAAAAATCCACATTGGAAAGGAAGAAGCAAAACTGTCATTGCTTGCAGGTGACATATTATGATGCACTGAATGTCTAAAAAAGTGAACAATAAAGTGTTAGAATTCATCTATGAATTCAGTAAGGGCTTCCCTGGTGCCTCGGGGTAAAGAAGCCATCTGCCAACACAGGAGATGTGGGTTCGATCCTTGGGTCAGAAGTTCCCCTGGAGAAGGAAATGACTACCCACTCCAGTATTTTTACCTGGAAAATCTCATGGACAGAGGCACCTGGCGGGCTACAGTCCACGGGGTCACAAAGAGTCCAACACGAGTCAGTGACTAAACAACAGTGTGAATTCAGTAAATTTGCAGGACACAAAATCACTACTGAGAACTCTGTTGCATTTCCATATAATAATAATGAAAGAGCCGAAGGAGAAACTCAGGAGATGATCCCATTTACCATCGCGGCAAATAGAAGAAGATATTTTAGGAATAAACCTACTTGAGGAGGCAGAAGTCCTCTACTCTGAAAACTACAAGATGCTGAGGGAAGAAACAAAGCTCGTGCACAGATGGAAAGAATGACTTGTTCTTCGATGTAAAGAATCCACATTAAAAAATCAACGTTGTTGAAATGTCCACACTACTCGGAGCACGCTACGGATTCAATGCAATCCCTATCAAATGACCAGTGGCATTTTTCACAGAACTAGAATACAAAAAATTTAAATTTGTATGGGAACATAAAAGACCCTGAATAACCAAAACAATCTTGGGAAATAAGAATGGAGCTGGAGAAATCACACTCCCTGTCTTCAGACCACGATGGTGTGATCACTCACCTAGAGCCAGACACCCTGGAGTGTGAAGTCAAGTAGGCCTTAGGAAGCATCACTATGAACAAAGCTAGAGGAGGTGATGGAATTCCAGCTGAACTACTGCAAATCCTAAAAGATGATGCTGTTAAAGTGCTGGATTCAATATGCCGGCAAATTTGGAAAACTCAGCAGTGGCCACAAGACTGGAAAAGATCAGCTTTCATTCCAATCCCAAAGAAGGGCAGTGCCAAAGAATGTTCAAACTACTGCACAACTGTGCTCATTTCACTTGATAGAAAGACAGTGCTCAAAATCCTTCAAGCCAGGCTTCAACAGTACGTGAATGGAGAACTTCCAGATGTTCAAGCTGGTTTTAGAAAAGGCAGAGGAACCAGAGATCAAATTTCCAACACCCACTGGATCACAGAAAAAGCAGGGGAATTCCAGAAAAACGTCTGCATCACTGACTACATGAAACCCTTTGTGTGGATCACAACAAACTGTGGAATATTCTTAAAGAGATGGGAATACCAGACCACTTTACCTGCCTCCTGAGAAACCTATATTTAGGCCAAGGAGCAACAATTAGAACTGGATGTAGAACCGTGGACTGGTTCAAAATTGGGAAAGGAGTATATCAATACTCTATATTTTCACCCTGCTTATTTAACTTATATGCAGAGTGCATCATGAGAAATGCTGGGCTAGATAAAGCACAAGCTGGAATCAAGATTGCCGGGAGAAATATTAATAACCTCAGATATGCAGATGACACCACCCTAATGGCAGAAAGTGAGGAGGAACTAAAGAGCCTCTTGATGAAGGTGAAAGAGGCGAGTGAAAGAAAGTGAAAGTCACTGAGTCACGTCCGACTCTTCACAACCTCATGGAATAGTCCATGAAATTCTCCAGGCCAGAATACTGGAGTGGGCAGCCACTGGCTCCTCCAGGGGATCTTCCCAACCCAGGGATCAAACCCAGGTCTGCCACATTGCAGGCAGAGAGCTGCAGTGAGCTCAGCTCTTCACCAGCTGAACTACCAGGGCAGCATCGAGAGAAGAGACTGCTGCTTGGCAGGGAGAGGAGAAGCCCAGGAGAGTTAGATTGGGAGTCTGGGGTTGGCAGATTCAAACTGTTAATACACAATGTGGATTAAAAAACAAGGTCCTGGAGAAAAGGGCACCCTCCTCCACTCTTGCTGGGAATGTAAATTGGTACGGCTACCATGAAATGTTAGTTGCTCAGTCATAGCCCCCCGGGTTCCTCTGTCCATGGAATTCTCCAAGCAAGAATACTGACGTGGGTTGCCAGTCCCTTCTTCAGGGGATCTTCCTGACCCAGGGATCATACCTGTGTCTCCGACATTGTGGGCAGATTCTTCACCATCTGAGCCACCAGGGAAGCCCTAGCCTATGATTTATCTAGTGTATGATTTAGCAATTCCACTTCCAGGCCTATATCCAGAGAGATACATGGTTTGAAATGATACATGCACCCCAATGTTCATTGCAGAACTCAACAGCCAGGACATGGAAGCAATCTAAATGTCCATCAACAGAGAAATGGATAAAAATAGGGTACATATATACAATGGAATATTACTCAGCCACAAAAAAGAATGGAGTGATGCCATTTGCAGTAGCATGGATAGACCTAGATTGTCATACTGAGGGAAATAATTCAGGCAGAGAAAAATATCATGTGAGATTGCTTATTTGTGGAATCTAAAACACTGATAAAAATGAACTTATTTACAAAACAGTATAGGCTCAAACAAAATGCAAAATGA